GTTGAAAAATAATAGGCCCAAGCTCAAAACAAAGTTATAAAGGGAAAAAAAAAAAATTGGCTGATCTTCTTCACCAGTTCACCGTCGGCTTTGCAATTCTTTTCGACGGACCCAGCATGGGCGGCCATGGGGGCTGGTCAGGTGCTGAGTCCGCCCCTGCGTACGTGTCGAGCTGATTAAGCTTGGACTATTCATCACAGATTTATACAACTTCTCTAGGTCAAACATAAAGTGTTATAAGTTGTAAATATTTGAATATATGTAGGTGCAATCATTAAGATGTGGTTATAATTCATGTCTACGTTGAAAAAAGGGTCTCCTCATAAATACACTATGGAGGCATGGGCCATGCTATTATACTGATAGCCTTCATTGAAAAAGAATGGACTAAATTTTTGAGACTAGGAAGAGTGCCAAAAATCAAATGTTTTATTTTGTTAATGAGTAAGCCAATAGCAATAAAACATTATTTTCATTTCTTTTTCATAAGAACGAGTCATTCGAAAATTTGGATAAACGATGAGACTAATAGTAAGTTGATAGTCAATTAAAGCACGATTAAAATGACAAAATGTTAATAAAATGATGTATGATCACAATAGAATAGATAAGACAAGAAATGAATACATATACTAAAACGTGAAGATAATATAGATCATAGGGTGTGTTTCGTTTTTTAAAAGTCAAATTATTTTGGACGAGAAACTTTGAAAAAGTGATAATATAATCGAGACATAAATTGACTCTAAGTTGAATATTCAAAGCATATTATTCACTACTTGAGAGTGTATTTGAGAATTAAATGAAAAATTAGATATGAATGTGCAAAGTCTGTCGGAGTTTTACGATTCTTGATGAGGTCGAAATGACACTACTTTAAGCTGGTCGCAATAATTTGGTGTTGTTTAGAAATCGAAATTTAATTCTTTTTTGAAAATCTGAAATTTAATTTTTGATATCATTATCAATTTACACAATCTCACAATTGTCAAAAATTGAATTTTAAATTTTTGGAACAAATTGGAGTTTAAATGTGAAATAAGGGGGTCCCCACATAACAAACACCAATAGAAAATTTGGTTTGTAGTAACTTGTTAACAGTTAACACTAAGACAAAATTTGTGAACAAGAAAGTGCTATAAAAGCGATTTTCTCTTCTTTGGTGCCATTTCCTAATTGAGTTGGGCTATTTGGGTCTCAATGGACTTGCAGGTCTTCAAAATCCAATTCCTCTGTCGGTTTCCATTAGCACCTTTTTTAAAGTGAAAATTACCCAATTCCCTACATTTGGAAATCCAATTTCTAAAATCAGATATAAAGTTTATTTTTTCAAAAATCAGATTTTTTTTTATATGGATACAGATTTTTTATACTTAATTAAATATTAATAATAATATTATAAAAATTAAATTATATACACCCCAACCCACCCCACCTCACCTTAAAATGAAAGCCCTAATTTCTATTTCAGAAAACTCCCTCGCCACTCTCTACCCGTATCTCTCTCGCCCTTCCCACACGGTAAACCCTAATTTCTCACATTCTAGCAAAGATCCTCCCCCCTCTCTGTAGCTCTCTCCGGCGACGGGAAGGGCCTCGCTCTCAGATCGACGGTTGTAGTTGGAGTGACGCTCAGATTTGCTGTACTCAGATCGACGGTGGCGTGGGGTTTTTGCACGATGTGGTGCGGTGATCCATCGAAGCTACGACACCGTGTTAGGGCTCCAACCGTGGCCACGTCAAGCCAACAATCGAACGGGGCCTCGATTTGCAGTCATCTCCTCTCCTCTCCCCGGTATGGCGCTTCACCCATCCCTCTTCCGGTTCCTAAATCCACAGTCAATTTCATGGGCCGTCGATTAGGTACAGCCGATGAAACTTCGGAGTCACTGTCGACGTGCGGCTGTGTCGCGAGGGAGAGGCGCGGGTGGTTGCGGTTCTCTCTGTTCCAACGCCGAAGATGTGATCGACGGGTACGGTTTCGGCATTGGCTGCTGCCAAACGCCGGCGCCGAAGGATTTACACCACCGTCTTTTGATCCCTGTAGCTATGCATTTTTTGTGGATTATTTTTGTGGTTGTGGTGCGGTGTAGATGGAGATAGAGATAGAGGCGATGGAGATGGCGGAGATTGTGTTTAGGTGGTGATGGTGCTGTGGCGTCCGTGATGGTGCCGTGGCTTTGTTGGCGACATTAGTGATGGTGGTTGTGGAATGTGGTTGGTGGTTGTGCGTGCGGTTATGGTGACCAATGCTGTGACCTGAGCATGTGCTGTGACCTGAGCCATATAATGTGACCGATGTTGTGACCTGAGCTGTGGTTAGGTGGTGATGGTGCTGGGGCGGCGGTGATGGTGCTGTGGCTGTGGTGGCGACATTAGTGATGGTGATTGTGGAATGTGGTTAGTGGGTGTGCGTGCGGTTACTGTGACCAATGCTGTGACCTGAGCTGTGACTATCAATAAAAACCTGAGTCATGCCCAAAAAAATATTCTGTGACCTGTGCTGTGACCATTTGAAATAAACTTGTAACTATCAATAAGAATCTGAATCATTTGAAAATAAAATGGGACTATGAACAAAACTGTGACCTGAGCGATGTGCAATATATGTACTGTGACCGATACTGTGACTATTTGAAAATAATCTGTGACTATTAATAAAAATGTAAGACGTGAGCCTTATTGTGCTATCAATTATTATAAACAAAAAATCACGTATTGTGACCTGTGACCTAAGCTGTGACCTGGACTGTGACTTGTGACCTGACCTGTGACTTGGGATGTGACCGTACAAAAAATTGATGTCATCGGAATAGTCGTCG